AATCTAATTTACTTACAGAAATAGTTTACTTTTCAATAAAATTTTAGCCTAAAAACTTAGGCAAAAGGAGCCGAGAGAATTGGTGTCATCATTTGCATGGCCGCAATCTAGTGATTCTCATTATTATTGTGTTTTTTTTAAACATATTTTTAAAATTAAAAGTATTTGATTAAATACCACGTTGTTCTAGAGATACTATAAAAAATACTACTACTGCTAGTGATATTATTAATTTACAATTACTAAAATACTATTACAATTTTAGTGGTTTACCTCATTCTCAAAAAATAAATGGAGCAGTTTTAATCCCACCACCCCTGAAGAGTTTACGCAGCCTTTCTTTGTGGAAATTCTTAGAGGTTCAAACTAAACGCCCCACCCGAAAAATGTAAATTAAATAACTATTCTGTATTATATACAGTGATAGAGAAATAAATAAATATAAAAATATTCGTAGAGCTTGTATCTAAGACAACTTAAATAAATATTACCGAATTCATTCAAAGGATACGACTTGTGAAATACATATTGAAAAGAGATTCGGTGATGAAATAAAGATGGAAAAAAATGCTAGTAAAACTATATTATTTATAACTGCTTCTTCTGATGAGAAAAAGAAACTGTGAATAAAAGAAAAGAAAATGAAAACATTGTTGAACAGGTTTTTTTAAGAACTACGCGTATGGCCGGTGATTTATTTTGAATAGGGTAAAATGAAAATCTTAATAATTTTAAATATAGGAACTCTGCACAATCGTTATTTTTTAATTTTATCTGTAGTGGTAGTCAAAATCATTTTAAACTAAATTTATGAATCCAAAAAAAAGAAACTATAAATTTTTCCAATACTTTAAATATAAAATTTAAAACTTCTTGAAAAATGCTTAAAACTGGCATATACAGGTGTTGGGCAAAAATATGTGAACACATTCATGCTAATTATATGTAACCATTCTTTCTTTTCAGCAAATATTTTAGAATATTTTACATGACACAACTACTTGTGGAATTTGATCGTGTTCAAAGCATTTGTATATGATGTTATACTTACTTCCTACAAAATTCGAATTGATCGAAACAAGTAAGATAAGTTAATTAATTTTTATACCATCGATTTCAAAGTAATATTATGAGCTCGCAATTATATTAGAATGCTTTTATAAATTATAGTGGTATCAAAAATTTAGAGGAGATTTTAACTTCTTAAGTACCTTTTTTTGAAACAAAATGGGATAGAACACATTAAGTAATAAATATCCCGTAAAAAGCAGAAAATAAAATGTAAAGAAAAAACAGAACAAGACGTAAAACGAAATCTATAAGGTGAGTAACAAATTCAAAAGAACTTACACGAACGGGAAAATTTTCAAGAATGACTTAAAATACATTTGTAATAAGATTGTCAGATTACAAAAAATGAAAACAGAAGCACAAATTGAGGTAAAAGCGTAAATAGTAGGATTTGTTTTATAGTGCGTTCTTAAGGATTAGCCCTAAAATGGATGGGCGCAGGAAGGTAATATTATACGGAATAATTTAAAGCAGTTTATAATTAATAATGTTGATATTTAATTATACAATTTTAACGATTTTATAAAATTAGCTTTCATTTAAGAGAGAGAGAGAGACTTTTTTAAATAAAAGATAATTTTCTAAAATCGTTAAAATTGTATTGTTAAATAATTAACCGGTTAACGCCCAGCGTCATATATTTAGGACAGTTCCTTTTTTCAAAGACATTCATTGTGGTGGGAAACTTTTTTCAGAATTTTCATTTATCTGGGTGAATTAAAAGATTCTCAGATACCACAATAATTTAGTTATTTCTGATTAGAACTGGAATTATAAGGAGCGAGTACTTTTTGATCTATCAAAGACTTTTTGAATGCCCTAACAGTAGAAAAACCAATTAATTTTGATAATATATTATACCACCTTTTCCATAAAACCACTTCTTGTATCATATAAACTTGGGACAAAACGGGTTAATCTCTCTCTCTCTCTCTCTCTCTCTCTATTAAGAGAAAGATCTCTATTTAATTATTATCTCTCTCTCTCGATTTAATTATGCAATTTCAACGATTTCAGAAAATAAACTTTTGTTTAAGAAAAGTCTCTCTCTTAAATATAAGTTAATTGTCTAAAATCGTTAAAATTGTATAATTAAATATTAACCTTATTAATTTAAACTGCTTTAAATCATCCAGTATAATATTACCTTCTTGCGCACATCCCTTTTCGAGCCAATTCTTGGTAACTAACAAATCATTTGCACTTCAGTACTGCAGTAAGAAAGCGCTATAAAACAAATAAACTCGATTTGCGCTTTTGCTTTCATATTTTGTTATCTTGCAATCTTATTACGAAAATATTTCAAATAAATCTTCAAAATTTTTCCGTTCATGTAAGCTCACTACTCGTTTTACAGATTAAGCTTTAGGTTTTGTTCTGTTTTTTCTTTACATTTTATTTTCTGTTTTTGACTTGATATTTATTACTTAATGTGTTCTATTCTATTTTGTTTCAAAACTTTTTTGAGTGCTCCTCCAACTATGGTATTGATCTATTTTGCTTTGGCTATATTGATACAATATTAGAAAGCACTCCTCTTTGCAGATATAATCTTGTGAACTAATAAAGAGATTGTATAGTTTATTCCCCTGTTTTTAATTGAATTTCTTTTTAAATAATTTTCTTCGTGTTTATTACTAACTACGAATTAAATATCTAAACTTGTAGAAGAGAAAAAGATTGAAAAAATGAGAAAAATTATTCCATGCAAATCAAATTAGACATTTTGACAGACATTCAATTATTTTTTAAGGTGATCCAGCAGAACCTTCTATACCCTACCATAACATAAAGCTAAGCATTACTTCGCCTCGGAAGGAAATCCTTTACTAAATCAAGTATCTTGGCCCTACCATAGCATAAAGCTAAGCATTACTTCTCCTAGGAAGGTAATCCCCTACTAAATTAAGTATCTTGGCCCTACCAAAGCACAAAGCTAAGCATTATTTCACCTCAGAAGGCAATCCGTTACTAAATCACGTATCTTGAAGCAATCATCTACTAAGTCAAGTATCTCCAAATCCAATTGTAATACCGATATTCCAGAGATGTTTATGTAGAGACATACAATTATTTAAAGTTAGCAAATGATTATTACAAATAAACTTAATGAAATTAATTTCAGATAAAATTAAGTTTATGTGGATACTTATGGAAATAGTATCTACAACGTGTACTGCGGTGGAACTGTAGGTACTCCAGAAAATAAATTTGTTGACAGGAAATGGAAAGTTATTTCTTTTATCAAAAATATCAATATAAGGGTTAGAAACGTTTAACACGTTCACGCCGGGGCGACCCACCGGTGGGTCACGCTAGATTGTCTCATCTTGGCAGCGCACCGGAGTAAAAACTGGTAACAATAAATTTCATTTTTTAATTTTTTCCGGGAATAATAAAAATCCATAGCTACCAATTGTTTTTAAGGGTGCAATTTTTATATTGAATTGTTTCTTCGCCGTGATAAATTTTCTTACAGTGAATTGTTATTGTTGAGAATAGATTAACTCCTCACGAATAATATCTAATATTGNTGTTATTACTATAAATTTTCTGTAAATTTCCAGATGTATGGGATAGGGGCCACTAAGAGGCCCAGGTGCCCAATTTTTGTAAATAAAAGTAAAAAAAAAGTGATAAATTTTCTTACAGTGAATTGTTATTGTTGAGAATAGATGAACTCCTCACGAATAATATCTAATATTGAAATAGTTCTTCTACCAGTATTTTCTCTTTTCCCGGCGTGAACGTGTTAATGTAATGAATAATTTAAGGAATTAAGCTTGGATATTAGGATAAATTAGACTGATTAGTTTTTACCACAGTAAATTTCTCTGGATATATAGCGTTTGAAGTATCAATAAAATCAATGCAATTGAATCGATAAATCTGAAATCGTCTCTAATTGATATCGCAGCATTTTTTTAAAAGCAGTATAAAAAGAGGAGCAGCTAGAATTTCGGAAAAATTAGTATTTTGTGGTATGTGAACAATTTGCAGAAAGACACTTTCTCCATTAAAAATAAAATTGTTAAAAAAAACAGAATTAAAAACAGAAATTAAAAATATTTTGACAGCTATAAAAAAGTATCAGTATGTTTGCATTTGTCAGCATTAATTTTCTTTTGAATGCTGACAAAATATTATCTATTTATGTATTTTCAATTATTTATTTTAAAAGCGAAGTTTGCAGTCTTTTGTTGAAGAAATGTGAATAGTACTTCGTGTTTTTTGCAATCGACTTGCCACTGTTCACTGTATTTTTATGGATTAAACACCTTAAAATATACCAAGGTGCTTAACATTAATAATATACCAAGTCTTCTTAAGTGAATTTCCCAAATCGTGTCCTATTCTTGTGAGACTGTAACATTGGAAAGTCAACTTTATTAAGTAAAAGCATCAAAATTTCTCTTGACAAAAATATATCTCAATCTCTTTAATCTAGACTGCAAAGTTTGATTAAAGAGATTGAGATATATTTAGACATAGAACATTAGGCTAGACTTAACATAGAACGATAATATGCAGATAATATACATGATAACGAATTATGTATGAGATTAAAATATTTTATTAGTTATACACATAAAATATGCTTTGCGTTTGTAATTTTAAGAGTCAAACAGACATCTACCCACAAAATTTATAAGAACGGGGATTATTGAAATAAATTTTTATAGCTTCTCTTAAATTGAAAGCTAAAATATCTTTTACAATTTTCAACACAATTTCTGCTTAAAATTTTTGAAATCTGAATTTTATAGGTTTAAACGGCATTGAAGATATTATTAAATAAACAAAATTCAATTGGCCTAATAAACATCTGCTTTATTCTAAATACATTTAATTTAAAGACAAATAATTACGAATAGTGAAATATTATATTTGCATAGAGATATTTCAAGTTTATGTAAAAGCAGAATAGTATAAAAGTACTCGCGCCGAAACCAGATTTACAATTTAACTTATTTTGTCAAACTGCTAGTCAAAGCATTTAACTTACATTATAAAAATGAATACCTTCCTGAAAATTTGCTTGATGGTTTTTGTTGTAGCTATTCTCACTGCATGCTCAGAAGGTAAAATGAACAATTATCAATTTTATATATTTTTTTATTTAATAAGTGTTAATTTCATTTAAATTTATGAGTTTCTTTCTATTATTTATTAAAATTTACTTATAAGTTATTATAGAACCCTTGGAAAAAAAATTATTATGTTTGGAAATAATAATTTATTGCTTAAAACACTAACCAAATGGATCAAAATCTTTTTATAAGTATGTAATGAAATAATTTAAAAATTTCTTAACTTTTTTAATTTATTGTAATTAGCTTTAAACTTTATGCAATCCGCTAGAAGAAGTTTCCGTTTAGAAGCGCTTCACACAATGGTGAGCAAAAACTTGCTAAGAGGATTTTAATTTTTATTTATGCTAAAATTTACTGAACTTTTTTTTTACCCTATTTTAATTGTTGAAATCTAATTACTAAATACTCCTATTACCCTAGACTACGCGGAATATTCCGGGAGAGTTTTTATTCAGTTAAGCGTAGTACCAAAGAATGGTTAAATGTAAAATAACATCTATATGAAAAAAATGGTAGTATATATTGGCTTGTGCCAAATGAATATTTATTTTTGTTATCTGCCATTGTAGCTTAAAAAAGCACTATACTTTGAATTCAGATTTAAGTATTAATATTGAGATAATATTAATATATTATGTCAGACAGAGCTATCTCTTTATTTTCAAATATCCTCAAATAATAAATTAAGTGCGCTATCACATTTTCATTTTTGCAAAGAGAAACTTTTTAAAAGGATTCTAGGGATAACTTGGTTAACTTTCTGAAACATGATTGCAACGTTATGAAGTACTTAAGCAGTTTGCTTTCTTAAGTTTGTGAATAATTTCAAAACTGTAGGGAAGCTGTAAAATACTTTCTTTTCATAATCTAAAGAATCAATGCATTGCTAATATTTTTCTTACGCAAAAAGACAGGTATTCAGTTTTGCAAAAAGAACCAGATTTTTTAAAGGATGCTAGGAACAAAAAAGTTGACTCGTCTGGAACGTCATTGCAACTTTTGAGGTTCATGCGTAGTTTGCTTTCTATTGTTAATTTCGTAATTGCTTTAAAAAACTGTAGGGACATTCATAATATTTTCTTTGAATAATCTTAAGAATCAATGCATTGATAAAATTTTTATGTGCAAGAGGACATGTATATTTGTAACAAAAATATTATTTTCTTGTAATATTTATAATTTTTTTATAAACTTATTATAGTTTTTTATAAATTTATTACAGTGAAAATTTATAATATAACATGTAGTTTCTCTAAAATAACATTCTTATTTATGATTTTTTGCAGCACAATATAATGGCTACAATGGGGCTGGTGAGAAAACTTTTTTATGTAATTGAATGTTAACTTTAAGTTTATATTTTAATTGCTTTTTAAAGCTGAAATGTCATTAAACTTCTAAGGAAACTCTCACTTTAAAATTTTTCTCTTTTAAAATATAATTAATAATGTATATATTTTAAATATTTTTTTTTGTTTTTATTAAAATATTAGTTGAGAAATACTAAAGCTTATAAAGAAGTTCCCTTTGTAAATAAAGTAATTATTATTGGAATAATTTTTAAATTAATTTCATGACATTTAAAGAAAAAAGAAGTTTTTTAGATCAGAAGAAAGTTTGAATAACATTATCTTACACGAATTTTGATTCTACTTAATTGATATCATTTTCCGATTGGTTCAAATAAAAAATGCCCCAAATTTATTTGCGATCTGGCCAATGCAAAGCTGAAATTTTCTTTCGGTTATTCAGGAAACGTAAATATTTTCGGTTTTTTTTTATTTAAAAGCAAAATAAGTAAGTAGAACTCATACTTCCTATCAACAGTATAGTCAAACTAAAACTGATGTTGGATAATTTGAAAGTGGTTAGTTAATTTCAGAGTTGTGAAACAAATAGTGATTAGTATAATTCTATAAATTGTTTGTCGATTATCGATATGTATATCAATTTGTTAAAATTATACGAATTATACTCATACTCATATGTGGTAGTTATCTTAGCATCAGCCCAGCAAGGGGCTCTAACTAATTCATCTGAATGCCAACTGCTCCGCTTTCTGGAATAGTTTTAATAAAGTGGTAGCAAACTATATAGTGAAATTTGTTAGAGACGGACAGTTACACCTACTTTTTAATATAGTAACCAGTTGATTGAAGCTTTAACGTTGCATTTTATATGATACTTATAACTTTTGATACTTAGTGGTGAAAAAAATACTTAAAAGGAAAAATACTAAACTAAAAGTAACTTGAATTTCGCTACCACTAGAAAATACTATTTAACAAAGCGGAGTAAGTTGGCATCTCTGTGAATATACGAATTTCATATTAAAACTACGATTTATGTGTTAAAACTTTTAATTAAAAATAATGGTAACTAAAGAATAAAAAAACTTAAAAATTGGCATTTATTTAGATACAACAGTGTTCTTATGCACCAAGAAAATCTTTAAAAAGGACAATAAAATTAAAATAAAAAATAATAATTCAATATGCTTTATACAACCAGATTATTTTAATAACCCATCGGAATTTGGTACAAGTTGGTACCAGTGTTTCAGATGTGTACGAACATAGAACATGTTTTAAAAATCAAATTAGGGCCCCTTTAAGAGTATTATTATTGAGATAATTAACAAATTCATAATCATTGAAATTAGATCCTGAAAAAAAAATTATGCATTGTTCGAAGATTTACGAAACATTTTTTAGATAAATAAATTAAAATATTCCGTTAGGATATGAAAGCTGTTATTATTAATTAAAATGTTCCTCCCAATTAGCAGTAGAATGAAAAATACACTCTGTTCTGTTGTGGTCTTCTGTAAAAGAAATTTTAGGGTCATTCACCCAATTATCCACAAATTTATGTACTCCAGTGATAAAAAATGTGACCAATAGTTTACGAAAAAAATAAAAGCTCATTCATGCTTAAAATAAGCCTATATATTCTTCCGATAGCTATTTTCTTAACTAACGTAGCTTTGTGATTTTAGTGAATAAAAGAAAATTGCAAGGAAGGAGAATTTTACTGCTAATATATTTTAAAGACTCGAATGAATTCAAGCACTAGCAATAGCCATGCAATTAGCTCTAATATTTTTAATTAGCCTATTCTTAAAAGAGGAATATAGACCTTAATATAATTAAATAGTTTTTATATATTATTAAATGAATAACTAAATATTTTTAAAAGCTATACCTCGAAAATCTGATTTTGAGTAAAATAGTTTAAATAAAGATCAATTTTTTATTTCAGCAAGGGGTGGTCGTGGTTTCGGAGGTGGACGTGGATATGGGGGTCAGTATTTAGATAATAAATTTTTCATGAAACTTTACATTTATTTTTAAAATGTGTATAGATATTGTTGTGTAGAAGAAATGTAAACTTAATTTAAAGAAAATTTTGTTAATTATTTGCTAAGTTATAAATTTTTTTCTTCATTTAATAAAAAAAGGGAAAATTGCATTAGATGACTAGAAATTTTTGAAACATTTTTGTTTACTGTAAATCCGGAAACTAATTTTTTTAAATTTTTTTATAAGCATTTGCAACGTGTAGTAAAATTTCAGATGTTCTTAAATCTGATATTAATAGCTGCACATTAAGCATCTTTAAACTCAAATTTATGCAATTTTTATTAGAAACGCAAACTTCTACTATAAAAGTTTTTATGATAAAAATATAGGAAAAATTCTTGATGTGTAGATAATAAAAAATGTCTGTCATTGATGATTTTCCTCCAGACGGTTTTTTGTAGGTAGTCCGATCGGGTAAATGCTACGCTAGAAACATTTAATAGAAAAATCTATTAAAATACGATAGTCGAAGCAAATATATGTCTAAAAATTTGTCTAATTTTTTAATATGATTAGTTTGTCTTATTTACTTGTCTACCATTACAAATTCAATTCTCAAATATATATGATAAATTTCTCTCAATTTCTTTTAAAAAGAGAAGTGGAATTCATGCTAACAACTGGCTCACTTTTTAAATAGTCTGCGCAGACTACTTATAAAAAACTACGTGGAGGTTTTCTGATGTAGGAGGTAATGGCTCAATTCAGGCTTATAAGCTTATGCCAAGGAGAAGCAGCGATAGAACAATTCAGAGAAGGATGTCACAAAGAATACATCCAGAGTTACGATGGGATTTTAACCCACTTCCTCCATACTTCGCACAGAGTTTAATGAGTGCTACCGCTCTGCCAAGCAAACAGCATGAAATAACGAATGGGGCTAGTTATGAATATATTTATAAAAAATAAAAAGGGGTGGCAGAAATATATAGATAACAGCAGAAATATATAGCTTCATTTCAGAAAGACATACTGCATTGATGACTACCAAATCATATAAATGATTGTGTAGGAATGGATAGAATTTCATTTGGTAATTAGTCGACTAAATAAGAATATCAGTCATCTTTAATCTGAAATTTACGTCCAGTTTTTATATTGGCTATTTTAACTTAGTCTGGTATTTAAATAAATCGGATTCCAGTAGGTAAAGTGTCTACAAAAACTGTATTATAAATTATTTTTATAATAATAACCGCAAAAATATGCCATTTCAAATTGTTAAGAGTAATAAACAGCTAGTAGGAGACTTAAAGCTGTTTATTTTTGGTGATAGAAATAAATTTTTTTTTAATTCACATTTATGTATTTTAAAGTAAATTTCTATCTTTTTTAGGAAGACCTGTAAATCAAGGTAAAATCATGTTGTGTTATATTTCTCTCATGTACTTTTTGTCATATTTATTCATAGATTTATATTATTAGATTAGAAATTCTTTTTCTTGCACCTCAGTACATTACTACCGATTTCAATAAGAATTTCCTAAACAGTACTTATTATAAATTCCAACCAAGATAAGCACAAAGCAAATTTTAACTAAACCAAAGATTTGAAATCTAGCATTTTCGGTACTTCTGTAGCACTGTTAATACTGTCTAAGACAGTAAGAATGTTGCTTTACGATAATTATTACATATTACACGCTGTCAATCTCCCTTATGAATTTGTATGAAGTTAAAAGAAAGTGAATAGTATTAATTAAAAAAAAACTCATTCAATTGAATAATCATGATTTAGATGTTAATTATTTCTTAAAAATTTGTTGCTGAAACTGTTATGTGCTTAAAAGTAAAGCTTTTAGTAATTAATTACGTTATCGGTTTTTTTAACAGTTTAAGCTGGGTTAGTTACATTTTTACAATCACAATTATGAGTTATTTCTTTTCCGGGTAAATGTCAACCTAATTTAAAAATAATTTCTTTCACGTCTTGTTAGCTTTATACATTGAGGAATGGCATGGAATTACATTTTAGTTGATACCCGACTTAAATCCTTGATACCTTGATACCCGACTTAAAGATAAAAACAAACAAACAAATTGCTTTTTAAATCTCCTTCAAAACTATGAAGTTGAAAGTTATCGGCACTTTGTTTCATTATTTAAGTTTCCCATTTCACGGTTACCATAAATTATACAGATGGAAAACCAACAATTTCTTTACTCTGAATTTATAGAGGGATTAGATTTCGAAATTTCAGATAGTATTTGCAATGCTCAATAAAAACAAAGGTTAAGTTTATTTCAAGAGCATTAAATTTAAACGAATAAGTTATAACTTTTTTCTTATCTTAAGAATCAAACGCTTGAAAAATAAATGCCTTTTATTTGTAATGAGTAAGTTAATCCTAAGGAGTAAGATTAGAAATATTATGAAACAGTTAGATACATTTTACAATCTGAAATATTCCGATTTTCCATTTATATTTTTGAACAATTTTACAGGAAATCAAGGCGGAGATACTTCTCAAGGCAACAACCAAGATGGCTACAATGTAAACTATGGTCAAGGAGATCTTAACAACAATCAGAGAAATCAAGGATCTCAACAAGGCTTTCAACGAAACCTAAATGGAGGATACTATTAGAAAGAACATTATGAAAATTATAACCAATGTTCTAGCACATAAATAAAACTAGTTATATAAATATTGTATTTTGAATAGTTTCCAAGCACGATATTTCTTGAGTCATAGTATAGCTGTTAGTATATAAGTATTAAAAATAATTACAATTGAATAAATCAGAAAAATTAATATTAACACGTTCACGCCGGGGTGACCCACCGGTGGATCACGCTAGATTTTCTCATCTTGGCGGTGCACCGGAGTAAAAACTGGTAACAAATAAATTTTATTTTTTAGTTTTTTTCCGGGAATAATAAAAATCCATAACTGCCAATTGTTTTTAACGGATGCAATTTTCATATTGAATTGCTTCTTCGCCGGGATAAATTTCCTTAAAGTGAATTGTTATTGTTGAGAATAGATTAACTGCTCCCGAATATTATTTAATATTGAAATAGTTCTTCTACCAGTTTTTTCTCTTTTCCCGTACCAGTATTTTCACTTTTCCCGGCGTGAACGTGTTAATCATGTAGTTCAATTAAAGAAATTGCTTAATAGTGTGATGGCATTCAAAGTGTCAAACCTATGTTTTAAAAAGTCTAACTACGAATAGGTTTGCAATTTTTCATGCATTTCATTCATTGCTACTAATATATCCCACATTCTTTGAAATACATAGGAAACCTGGAAGTTACAGGGGACAAACCAGGAATTTTGAAAGTAAATAAAAAATCACACATTTTTAATTTTTAATTAAATAATAGTTTATGAAATATAATAGTATTTGTAATATAAAAACCCGTAGCTTTTAAACGACTTAAGGTGTTTCATTTGAGGGCAAGGACTCTCAAAACGTAATATAAGCATGGTCAATTTAATATAAGCTTATTTTGTTTTCCGTTAGCGATTAAAATTTTTACTTAAACATGAATTAAATTCAATTCTGATTTAATTAATTAAACTAATAAAAAAATAGAAAAATAATTCTGGATGATACAGATAAGAGATGTATCTGAGTTTTAGATAAGGAATCAAAATTGAATGTTATTGTGAAAACTCTAGCGTTTTCTAAAAAACCTGATTTGCTTCCGGGAAAGATATATATATATATAAGAAGACAAGACAGATCAAAAAGTGGTAAAAAAATTATTTCATTATGGCTTGTTACGGAGAAAATTAAAAAATCAGTGACTGACAAGTTTTTAACAACTATGCCATTCATGTAGGACTGTTTATTTACTAGAAAAAAAAAGAAATATTGATAAATAGCTAAATTTAGGTCTACCAAAATGTTCTGCCCATGAAAGTAAATGCCTCCCTTTATAGCAGGTCGACCAACTTTCAACGTTTTTTGTAAAACTTTATTCTAGTGTTAGCTATGTTTATGTTTGAGTGTATTAATTTTTTTATTACAATTAATTTACAACATAGATATACTGGTTTTCCTGCTCTAGTAAGGCGTAAAATTCTTAATTATGTAGAAGGACAGATAGCACAATGCAGAGAAGCACAGCACGATAATATACGTCCAGGGTAACAACGGGATTTGAACCCGCTACCTCCACACTTCGCGCAGCACTAAAAGTTTTATAATACTGCTATTTGTTTTAAACATTTCTCAGTCACTAATAAATCTTTTCGTATGGGCCTAAAATATGCATTTGCAGAAATGTCAGAGCACTGTCATTTATAAAAAAGTGGTAGGACATTTGTGCTGGAAGTAAAGGTCTATTTTCTGTAATTAGCAAATTAAACCGCGGTGGCAGGAAGGATAAGGCACTTGCCAACGAATAAGTTAACCCAAGTTCGCAAGCTGCGCAATGGGCTAAATTGAATGATTAAAGATTGCAAGAAGAAATTCATATTTATAATATACAATGGTGAACACAAACGTCTGAAAATAGAAAAATAAAGCTAAGAATTAAGCAATTAATTAATTATTCTTTAGTTATTAATTTTTTCTAAATAGGACATATTCCTCAGAGGGTGAACATTCACGTTTAATAGCTTTATTATGGTGTTTAACAGCTTAGAATTAAACTTATATCTATTACAATAAAAGATTGAATTTCGCTACCACATTTAACTTTTAACCCTTTCGTTACTGTACTCTGCTCCACTATAGTTACATAATATAATTACTTATAGTAATTATTATAATTATAGTAATTAATATAATAAATATAGTTACAAAACGGGGTACCTTATCACGAAATGTGTACATTGCACATTTAGATTTTAAATTATCTAACTTAGTCAACAAATTAGTCAGCCAATACTCCTTGTTAAAGAAAATAATGTTACCAAAACTTAAGTTATTTTTAAATTAGTATTTTTAATTTTAAGTAATTTTTTCACTATTACACGTCAAGAATTCAAAGTACCATATGAAAAGGAACTTTTTTGTAGTTATCTTGATTACAATCATTGTTACTGTGGTCACAGCCTTTCACTACAATCGTAACCCATGGAGCCGCAATCATGACACATTTTTTGATTATTGTATCTATTTTAAGAACTTAAAATCATTTTTGTTTCTTTTTTCTTTTTATACTAAATCATGATATTCTTATCATACCATTAAGTAATTTATTATAAATGGTACAAGAGCCCTTCGGGGACCAAAAGCGTTCAGCAATAAAGTACTATAGAACCGGCAGGCCTGTGTAGGGAAGTGGCCTTGCATCAGAAAGGTTCTGGGTTCAAATCCCGGGCTGGGCATGGGTGTTCTTTCATTCTCTGTACTATCTGTCCTTACCTGTCCTACCTGTAGTTGTACCACCTAATATGGTGCCCTTGGAAGAATGGCCAACAAATCTGCACTTCAGATGCCTGCATTCTCCAGATGGGCATTGAAAAAAAAAATCTCATATTATGATTATGGTAGTTATCTCGTGAGGACGTTTTTAAAAATTGGGCGTAACTATTCTTACTCAACAAGTTTTACTGTTTAAATCGCAAACAATTTATTAAAAATTGCAGATAACAGCCAAGCCATCACCTCCTACATTAGAAAGCCTCCACACGGTTTTTTATAAGTAGTCTGCGCAGACTATTTAAAAAGTGAACCAGTGGTGCTCATGAAACCAAATTCCATTTTAAAAGTGATTAAGAGAAATTTAGCATATACATTTGCGAATTGAAAGGTGACAAGGGACTTTCAAAAAAGCAAAAATTTGTCAAAAAATCGATATTTTAAATTTTATATTTTTAAAATTTAGGCATTTAACTGAACATTTAAAAAAAATTTTCTGGAATAAGAGCAAAATTGATAAAGTTATGGCCATTTCAGTTTTTACCACGCCCCTTTTTTTACTTTCTTTTGTCTGCAGGTAGCTGTTAAAATTAGTTTAGTTTAAAATTAATTTAAAATTAGTTGAACATTTTGTTAACTTTTTAAAAAAAAATTTAAAGTACATAATTATTAAACTATTTCATTAGACAATATTTATAGGTATTTATATTAAAAACAGGAAATATTTGTTCAGAAGTAAAATTTGCATTGAAAAAGTAATAAAAGTTATTTTTCTCAAAATGTCTTTTTTGAGAAATTTACAATTTTCAAACTGCGTAATGTAGAAGGACAGAAGGACTGACCTGAGAATTTAATGCTATATATTTATGAATATTATTAACATTTTGTTGGAAAAGTTTTTTGAATTAAGTGAATAGTATTTTTTTTATACATGATATTTTATAGAGGTATCAGGATTTTTTCCTAAAAATGAAGGTTTTTTACTTCTTTTTTAGAGTTATTTGTTTCTATAATAAAAAATAAAAAAAGTGCTTCCAACACTTTTTTCAATATTACCTAATATGTAATATTTCAGAAGAATTTTGTCATTTTGACAAAATTTCAGACGCGAGGAGTAATATAAAAAAAACATAAAAAATTGAAAATTTCAAATTTTTTAATTTTTTAAATTTTGAAACATTTTTTTGAAATTTTGTATAAAAGTTGTTTTTAACAAGATAAATGTATCCTGAAAATTTCAAGCAAATCCCTTGATAATTTCAAAAAAAAAATTTGAAAGCCTTTTGTCACATTAAACAAATTTATAGACATATATTTGCTACCACTTTCTTATTTGTACTAGATTTTTTAGTAAATGGCTCTTTCGTAAATTGGTTTACCTTCATTATGGTCTGATCGGACTACGTATAAGAAACCGCGTGGAGGCTTTCAGTTATAGGAGGCGTTGGCCAAGCTGGCATACCCATCACCTCCTACATCAAAAAGCCTCCACACGATCTTTTCCAAGTAGTCCGCGCAGACTGTTTGAAAAGTGAATCAGTTGTGCGCANTATATATATATAGAAGCACGCCCGACGAAGAATGTTCTAAGATCAGGAAAATTAGAAATAAATATAATATAATAGAACAACATAATAAAATAGAAGTAGAGATAAGTATATTACACTAAAAGGTAATAAATGAGATTCGAGTATTAAATAGTCTATATGCGAACCACAAATGGAAAACCACAAAGTGGAAGACCACAAATTTATGAATTACAAATCGAAAGTTGTAGATGAGAAAAAGATTTAAAAATTTAAGAAAAATATCACCAAAGTGATTAAATTGGAAATATAAACAGGTATTTAAGTGTACTTCAAGATGTTATAACTAAACATTCAAAGATGCTGTGGCCATACCATAGCATAATTCTAAGCATTACTTCGCCTTGAAAGGCAATCCTCTACAAAATCAAATAACTATCTACTAATCCAATCCTAATACTAGGTACTCAAGAGAAGTTTATGTAGAGCTGTATAATTATTTCAAATCAGCAATTCGTTCTTATAGCTTTAATACGATTATTTTGAGATAAAATAATATTTTTATAAACACTAAAAGATGTATTAGAATTCTTGTAAATTAATTTGATGACTGTAAATTAATTTGTTGGGAATGGAAAGTTATTTCTCCATTTCAAAAATATCAATTTGAAGTTTAGACGAGTCTATTTTTATGAATATACGAAGGGAATCTGAAGATAAATTAAATTGATTAGTTAGTACCTTAATTAATTACTCTGAATATATAAAGTTTGCAGTTTTAATAGCATGAATATGACTAAA